CCCCAAAACCCCAAAACCCCAAAACCCCAAAACCCCTAAATGGCAAATCTAGATAGAATTTGTAATAAAATTAGTTTAGGAAATGGATCCCCTCAGCAATTGACAGGTCTGTGGATCCTTAATACATTATCCTCAAACACATTGTTACGAACATTTACTAGTCAAATTCAAGAGTGAACACTGGAAGGTAATCACCCAATGTCTTTCAGCATGGAGAGAGCAGATCAGTATCGGAGTGGGCACTAAATGTTACATAGAAGAACAAAAAGCAGAGAAGAACCTTCTTCAGAGTGAAGAGTCCTTTGACTATATGATCTTCATGATTTCATGTGATAATGTACTTCTGGACAGTTTCTACCAACATAAAGAACCTCTAAGAGTTTATATAGAGAAAACGTATTTGAAGAAATATCACTCTTTAAGACTCCCTAAATTCGAAAGATTGATCATAAAGAAAGATAAACAAGGAGAAAAAATGGCTTTTGTAGACTACTTTTCTCCATTAAAACATCCAATTGATGAGCTTACTATTTCAGCCAAGAGAACTGGTGAGAAGATTAAGTGGTGCCTTCCATTGATCCTGAACCACCCAGGGAAGCTACAGAGAGTCTCCTTCAGCTGCTTCTTGATCTTAACCAAAGAATTAAAGAGGCTATTCTCAGCTTGAGATTTTATGAAGAATATAATCTTTGCTCAATGCGAGTTCGGAATTGATGTTAATCATAAGTTGTTACCTCCTGCTGGCTGGGAGAGCAGAAGCAAAGTTACAGAGAAAATCCAGATCATTGGATGCACTTTTCCAGGTAAGGTTTTGAGCATTTATATGATGATTAGTACCATCATTGACTGTCTCGCCTAATATCACAATAATCAGTCTAAATCTTTCCTCTAGGAAGTTCAGATGAATTTAAAGCCATCGTGAGACAGTTTTATCCTAAAACTAAGATACAAATAAGCAATTAATCGGTCATTCAGATTTTGCTTAGTATTTACACATTTGAGTATTTCAATTTGTTATTCATAATCTGGGGTTTTGGGGTTTTGGGGTTTTGGGG